TTTTTCTCCAATAATGATTCAGTTTTCCTAATGCCACCACTAAATAATTTCTCTTCTTCTCAGTGGTGTTTTTTTTATTAGGTATTTTATCTGATATTAAGTTCTCAGATATTTTATCAGATATTAAGTTCTCACTTATGCACTGGTCTCTTTCTGAGTTCTAAGTTGAAATTCTTTAGCATATTTATCTGGTTTTGTGTCAAAAAAACACACTAGAAATTCTCAAATTTTAAAAAATATGCTAACACATGTCCATCATGCATGAGATCCGATGAGGAACTCTCATCCGACTAAATTTGATCCAAGACCTCACTTTAACAGGCCAATACATAATAAAAATAGAGAAAGGAAAACAAAGAATTACTGATCAAAAGAATGCTCCAGCATTACTCATTTATTCACTCATTTACTTGCTCATACAACAAATACTTATTCGGTATCTATGGGCGGGGATTCATGATGGATAGAGCTGGAGATGCAAGGCTGAGCCCGAAAAAGCAAGTTGCTGAAGTCATGAAACCCTACACTCTTCGATGAAAAACAAACATTAGTCAAATAATTATCCAAAAAATTTAACGTTGTAATTGTGACAGGTACTCTGAACAAGTTTAATGGGAAGGCTTGACCTCATAGACAGATTTGACCTGGTAGAGGAGAAAATCAAAGGTAATATTTGTAGGGTGGACAGGAGGTTACCAGGCTGGAGAGATGGAAGAAAGTTCCAGGTTGTGGAAAGAGCATGTTCAAAGCACCTATGGTAGAAAGGACCTGAGTGCAAAAGTCTGAAAAAAATTCAGATGTGTTTGTGTTTTAGTATTTAGAAGTCAGAGCAGAAGGAGCTAGCCATGGAGAACACATGGGCACAGCCAGCAAGAGAAGAAGAAAACAGGACACATTGCTGTCAGAGAAGCCAAGAGCAAGTATGCTCTAGGCTAGGCGATCTCACAGAACAGAGTATTTCTTGTCCCTTGGTCCTTTTAAGAAGTGGGCAACATTTCAGAATCCATGAAGAGATTTAACACAGGATGTTTATATCAGTGATTTTTTCATCCTTACAGAATACTGTTTATACATCATTTTGTACTTAACTTGAGGAATCTCTTTTCTTTTACAAAGGAGTCAGCAGGATGTGTATATCTCAAAGGAGTGTCCTTCTTGTCCTACCCAGTTATTTTATTTTTCCCTACATGCTTCCCTGTCTTGTTCACCACAGCATTCCCAATGCCAAGAACAATGCCTGAGACATAGTAGGTTCTCAGTAAATACTTGTCAAATGAGTTAATTAGTGAAGTAAACAAATGAACATTTTGTTGTTTTACATTTTTGAATATTTGTTCATAGCACTCATGATACCCATATATCAATGGCATCTATTAAAGGCAGAACAGGTGTCATAGATGGTCTCTGGTCATGTTCAACGCAATTGCCTCAAAATTCTTTCATTGGCTTATTTCTATTAAGGGCTTATTTAAGTCAAAAGTACTGTAATAACAATTAATTTGCAATTTATTTCACACTCTATCCCTTATTCAGTTCAAAAATATGCTTTGAAACTTCATGGAAATTGAGTTTGATTATTACACTATGCTTTATTGAGCCCGATTTTGAAAAGAGAACACCAAAGAAATACGGACAGCATTAAAAAAATAAAAATTTTATTTATCGGACAATAACATTTAAAAAAACTTTTCTCCCATTACATAAAAGGATTCTTTTTAAGGAAAAAAGGTCTAAATTTTTAGAAAGGGCACCACTAGCACAGACTGTGGCATCTCACAGTAGAGTTGCGAACTTGATCCATTTGGGTCAGACCAGGTCTGGGGTTTATGTTGAAGTGAAGGGGGTTGAGAGACTTAGCCCTGGGGTTCAGCCTTAGACCAGGGCCTGAGGTGGGTACCGGAAGAACAAGAACTAGGAAGTTGTGGTAGAGATGAGATTGGGTAGGGTGGGGGGTGTGGTGGGGCTGGGTTGTAGGGATATGGTAGCACAGAAGGGATACCCAAACTAATTAGCACTTAGGGAGCACTTAGGACATCCTAAGTGTTTCCTTTGCCTTTGGGTTCCATTCTGTGTCCTTGCCCCATTCCAAGATTTTGCCCTGAGGGTCACCTGTGCACATTGACCCTTGTTCCCAGGCTCCAGTGGAGGGAGGGTTGGCAGAAATCATACAGTTCGGGAAGAGCTGTCTCTATGTACACTTCAGTGAGTAACTGGGATTTTTTGGTCACCATTAACATGCTTTCTTCGAAAACTGAAACTAGTCGACATAGTTATGCCCTCCTGGACCTGGGGTGGCTGTTTGTTCATCTCTTTAAGGACAACTCTGATTTTGATTTTCTATGTGGAAATAAGCATCCATTTCCAGCTAACCTTTTCCAAAAATCAGCCCCACAAAGTCGAAGTAGTTTAATTTTAGAAGTAGAATTTACCATATACAGCCTCCAGTGTTACTTTAATTACGTTACTTAAGTGGGACTTCCTTTAAGTGAGGGGTAGGGCAGAGGGAGAAGCACACTTCCCTCTGAGCAGGGAGCCTGGTGCGGGACTCCATCCCAGGACCCTGAGATCATGAGCCAAAGGCAGAGGCTTAACCAACTGAGCTACCCAGGCATCCCCTAAAAGACATTCTTTTTTTTTTTTTTAATATAAAGTATTTTTTTTAAGATTATTTATTTATTTATTCATTTGACAGACAGAGATCACAAGTAGGCAGAGAGGCAGAGAGAGAGGGAAGCAGTCTCCCCGCCGACCGGAGAGCCCAATTTGAGGCTTGATCCCAGGACCCTGAAACCACGACCTGAGCCAAAAGTAGAGGCCTTAACCCACTCAGCCACCCAGGCGCCACGCCCCCCACCAAAAAACATTGTTATAAAAAAAATTCTTCTACACCCATTTCATTGTCTTTTCAAATTTATACCTGATATTTCAAAAATGTATAATAGAGGAATCCATTTCAGTGACCATTTAGTCTAATCTAAATATATTAAATAAATTAGGCCACTTGTTTAGAGGAAGTCCCTTATATTTCATTTCTTTTTTAAAAGAAAAAAAGTCACAATACCCCCAATCACCATTTTAATAGCCTCAATTAGATACTTAGTGTGAAAGATGAAAATAATATCTAAGATGAATTCTTTTCAGATTGCTCTTCCACCCATTTCTGGAATGAGGAAAAACGTAAACTACCCTTAAGGCAATAAGGGTTGAAGGGTAGGTAAGAGTTTGGAAATGTCCTATTGTCAAGGACTATGATGATAGCCTGAGTACATTCCTAGAACCTGAAACTAGTTCTCTGTCCTCTGGAGAGCTTCATGCTAGAGATCACGATGTCATTAGTACAGGATGAGGTGTGTTTATGAAATCATTGCTGGAAAAACATGAGGGTTAAAAAACATGGAAACAGAAGCATGTCAGCTATAGTCTCATGCCGATGACCCAGGCTTATTTTATGAGCAAATGTTCAATGATAAATTTTCTGACTATGGAAATAACAGAACAGCTCATTATGGGTCATTAATAAAATAGAGCATGGGACTAATATGTAGAATGCAAGCCATGTAGTGTTTGACCTTTGAGTTTAAATGGTCAATATTATAATAATTTTGGCTCTGCGTATAATGGTATAGTATGGTACATGTTTTTAAGAACTGAAATGGTGTGAGTGACATGGTTGGCTTTTGAAACAGGTTTCTCCAAACATCCCAGAGGAGGCAAACCAAACGAAATGGAACAGACAAATCTCTCCTTTGTGGTCAGACTTCCCTGGTTTAAGCAAGCAGTGGAAAAGAGGTGCTGGAGGATGAGTCAGAACGCCCTGTCATTGTTCTCTGGAGAGCTCAAGCAAACTGCTTTCATATTTTAATCTTCCAGGTTAAGGCCGGAGGTAATTCATCTAGTTCAAGTACATTGCAAACCAAACAGAAACTGTGTCCCATTCTTTTTCTTTTTCTTTGGTGGTAGGAAAGGAAGAGAGAAATCTCTAGTAAATGTCCAGGACTTCAATTTAGGAGACAGGTGTACGAAGGTCAGTGGAGGGCTTTACTTTGGGACAATGGAGGGTCTGGGAGAAGGGCGGTAGCGCACATTTAATTAACGTCAAGGATTTGAATAGATTTGTTTTCTATTGTAACTTACCCTTGACTTTTTTTTTTTTTTTTTTTTTTTTGTAGCCTGGAACCCCTTAACTAATTAGATAATTAATGTCTTTAATTTATGGTAATTTTCTTGCATCATTGCTGTATTGGCCATGGCATTTCTAAAAACAAAAACAAGACCCCACCCCCCTCCAAGAAAGGGTGCCACAGATGAAAACCCTGTCCGAACTGCACTTGGAGATCTGCGGTAAATTTACTTCAGCAAGGAGTTCCTGGAGTTCCTTTCCAGCATGTAGGCCTCACGCAGCTGGGACAGCCTTGGCGACCCGTCCAGCTCTAGCTGTCTCTGACCGCGGAGAGGGCAGCGCGCGGGGCGGAGCCGGGGCGCGAAAGCGCGCCCAGGCCCGCGCCCCCTTCCCGCGCCCCGCCGCGCCCGGGGAGTGAGTCTTTGTACAGTCAGGGCTTCTGCTGGGCAGGGCCAGCTGCTAATCTTCCAGGCGGACACCGGGGTGGAGGTGGGGGGGGCGAGATGGGGCATATAGGTGGCGTCCGCTGCTGAGAAACACCTAGCGCAGGTAAAAGGGTGGCGACAAGAGGGAGTTCCCACCTGTTGCGCTCTAAAAGAAATGAAGACTTGAGAAAATAGCAAGGAGGGGCCGATCGGTGGCTTTCAGACGCACCTGGAGCCCCACCCTCGGCCGGAGGAAAAGCCCCTTGGGTGCGAGGCCAGCGCTCCAGAGAAAGCCAGAGGAAAAGCGCCTCTCCCCGCGCGACACCTTCAGTGCCTCGCACTCGTCCTGCGCGGCCGGCCCAGAGCCTGCACTCGCGCCGCGGCCTTTGGCCCCGCGGAGCCTTCCCACCCCGACCTCCGGGCGCTTCTCCGGTGACCTGTCCCCGAGTGCTCCCATGGCGTCCGCCCGTCCCTCACGCTCCCGGAGCGGAGCCCTGTGCTGGCAACTGCTGCTGACCCTCTCGGTGAGTGGCCGCCCGGCTGCCGGCTCCCGGGAGGGGGGCTCCACCCGATGGGGGAGCCAGAGGAAACTCTGGGGGCAAGGGTGGCTTGGGGGGTGGCGGACAAAGCGGAGGGTAATGGGTCGCCGGCCGGTTGAACGAATGGAGTTGGAGGAATGGGGGAAGGTTGCCAGGAAGAGGTTCGCGACCTGGGCGCCGCGCTCCGGAAAGGGAGGAGAAGGGTGTCGTCGGTAGATGTAATCAGCGCAGGCAGACAGAGACGCAGACGCCAGCTGCGAACGCCCAGCCAAAACCGTGGCCTCTGGGGACGAGCGGGGAGCGCGGCTCCTCCGAGCCTCTGCCATTGCCGGGGAAGGTGCGATCCACTTCTGCCTCGGTGCCGGGTTCCGGCCACCGCGAAGGGAGCCCTGCGCGGACGGGGCGGAAAGTGCTCGCCCTTGGGTCAAAGGGAGAGGACTACGCGCCTTTCAGGGGGTTGCTCTCTGTCTGAGTGTGAGTGTGCGGAGAGGAGTGGTCTCGACACTCGCGCCCGGAAACGGTAGATGGGCGGGCCCTAGGTGACCCTTTGTATGGTTCTCATTGTTTGTCAACGTGTGCGGTTGCCACCCCCTTAATTTTAAGGGAAATGTTCTTCCGAATCTCTTGTGCACAGAGGCATCTGGATTCTTCTCCTAGGCCCTTTCAGTCTAAAACTGAGAAAGAACACTGTAGCAAAGTGTGAGAAGGCGTGGCCTTACTTGGGGAGGGACAGTTCCCCATGGCCGGGGGCGGGGCGGGGAAAGGCGGAAGGTACAGGAATACAATGCCAATGGACAGACCCTGGGAGAGTTTGGGATCAGAGGTTTCCCGAAATGGACTTCCTGAGTCCCCCAGGAAGAGAAAAATTAAATAGACCAGGTGCCAGAAAGTTCTCAACCTGCTAGTGTCCTTTCTCCTTGAGTTGGAGCTCAAGTTCTCTGAAGGACAAGGGAACAAACCTGGACAACAGACAGCAGGAAGATTCCTTCTGGGAGTGCTGGAACGGGCGTGGGGGGGAGTGGGGGAATGAAATATTCTGATAATTTCACTACTCAACCGCCCTTAGGTTACAGGCAATTCCTTAAATTTTTACGTCATGAAATCATAGTACTGTCATTCCAGTGTCTTTCTCTAGGAATTCTATGGACTTAAATTCCCCAGGCACATCAGTATCACAGAAAGTGCCAGGTGCACAACAATTAATATTTTACAGTTGAGAAAACCAAGAATGGCATAAATAACGGTCACAACATATGTAGTTGATGACAAAGAAATGACGTTGGTTATATCCCTAATAAAGTTGCTGCTTTTAAAAGCACTGGCTATTATTATTCTTTGAAGGAAAGGGGGTAATTAAACAGGGACAGTGATAAGTATGGGCAATAAATAGCACTGCTTTGCCTCTGCTTACAACACTTTTTCTGTTTGCTTTCACATCCTTTCTGGAAGAAAGACGATAAAGTGAACAAACTAAAGGTGACTTGTCTTAGCTTCAGAGCTGGATTGGCCAGAAGTGGGATAGAAAAAAGCTCTGGCGCTGGCTACACCCCACATCCTGCTACATTCTTGGCTGGAAGGCGTGGTGTGAGTCCTTCTAGTTGTTCTGGTGTCTGTGGGCATACCAGGGCAAAGTCCTGCCAGCCTCAGGTGGTTCTTATGCTTGTGGGCCTCAAGTGTGATGGATGTGTAAAGAGCATTTGAGTAGAAGGTATTATTAAAGAGTGAATAATTCCTATTCACTGGGGGAACACCCTTTATATTTCCTCTTCTCCATGCACCCAATTAATCCTTCACCGTTCCACAAATCAGGTTCTCTCTGCTTCCTAATAGGGCCTTACCTCACATGGGTCTTAACCACTTGAACTCTGGTTTCTACCTAAACACCTAATGAGGCTGCTCACTCTCTAAGGTCATACGGGATCTCCGCTACCATATAGAAGCCATTCCTTGCACGGTTCCACCTTGTAGCTTGTGCCTTTATTGAAATTCACTCCCCCTTTTTTTTTCTTTTGATCTTCCTGTCCCTGACTACTCAGAATCAGACTCCTTATTCTAGGTCCTGTCCACGAAATATCATTACAGGTGCCTCCTTAAATGAAATTTATTTTGTTAGTTGGGATGTCTTCATTGAACAATACGTCTTTGTATCTACCTAGTATGATGTGGGACACAGCAGTTATTATCTTCTCAAACAATGTTGCTTTTCTTCTCACAATATCCTGTAATTCAGTGAATGACATTACCATACACCTTGTTGCTCAGGTAGGATGTCTGGAAGCTGCTTGCTTTTCCTTCCTCACGGCTACCCTCATTAAGGGAGTATCATTAAGTCCCATTAAATCTACATTCAGAAATATCTTTTTTTTTTAATTATTTTATTTTATTTTTTTATTTCCAGCATAACAGTATTCCTTGTTTTTGCACCACACCCAGTGCTCCATGCAATCCGTGCTCTCTCTAATACCCACCACCTGGTTCCCCCAACCTCCCACCCCCCACCACTTCAAACCATTCAGAAATATCTTATGGATATCTTTGCTTCTATCCATCACCTCTGCTATTACTTTTTTGCTATTACAGGGAATGTCATAGTGAATAAACTTGTGTATATATGGGATTTCATGTATGGGCAGATGTATGAATGAATAGAATAGATTACCAGAAGTAGGATTGCCAGATACAAGTATAAATGACTCTCTACTTTGGTAGATATTACTAGCTCCTTCACCCCTCTATAAAGGTTGTACATGACTAGATGGAAGGCTATTTTATAATGGATGGCACATCACATCGTTGAGGATATATAGAAAGTATTATATATGTAATATATAATATATTATACATAGTATACTAATATACTAGTTATTATATTATATTGATATACTATAGTATTATAGTATAGTACTATACTATGTATAATATACTATATTATATAGCATGTTATATTATATTGTATTATAATATGTATATAGTATGAGACTACTTGATCTAGGCAGTCATTTAGCAAAAGATAAGGTTGAACCAGTAACTCATGCAGAACACAGAGAAATCTAAACAGATGGAAGGTTTGTGTAACATATACCATATACTTAATAAAAGAAAACATGGAGAATTCCTATTTAAGTTTGGAGTCAAGAAGGGGTATCTATGGTTCACATGGCTTAGATTTCAAAAGCCATTTATTAATATTGAGAAAACAAATTATGTCAAATTATAACCATTAATATAAATATATTATAAATATTATAAACAATATAAATCAATTATATTAAGGCACACACACACTTGTCCGTGGCAAAAAACCCAAACCAAACAAAAATATTATAAGTAAAGTCAAAGAGGTAATTGAAATTGGAAAAAAAATTGCGGATCATATTTTAGAAAGGCTAATCTACGAGTATATAAAGAGCTCTTATAAATCAAATAGTCCAACATGAACATTGATATGAAAAAGTCCCGTAAAGTAATAAAAATGGCCCATAAAAATATTTCAGCCTCACTCATAATAAGAAAAGATGTAGTTAAACTTCAATAACATGTTCCTCATTTGGCAAACATCCAAAAGTTTGACAACACACAGCATGGGCAAGAATGTGGTGAAATAGGAACTCCTATAAATTGTTGGTGAGTGTAACAAAGTTACATTTATGGACTGTATACAGTTAAAACAAATGCAAACAGAAACTGTTTTACTTCCTTTTCAGTTTTTATGCATCTAATATCTTTCTGCCTATTCATATATAATACTGCAATTTTAATTATGAGACTTCATAGAGTTTTTAAATACCTGCTAGGTGTAATATCCTTTCATAGCTTTTCTTTTTCATAATTTTCCCATATATTCTTGGGTTTTTATTTTGCCTTATGATCTTTTAAATGAGCTTGTGTAGTTCCAGAAAAGATACTGTTAAGATTTTTATTGACATCATGAAATTTATAATTTAACTTAGTGGAAATTGATATATTTATGTTGATTTTCTTTTTCTATCCAAAATAATGATACATCTTTCTTCTTGTCTGAGTCTACCTTCCTGTCCTTGAGAAATGTTTTCAGATTTTTCTCAAGTAGGCTTTACATGTTTCTTGTTTTTTACTCCTTGGCTTTTAACTTTTTATTGCTCTTGAAAATGATTCCTTCTCTTTCATTATATTATTTAACTTGTATTTACATGTATAAAGACTAATGATTTCTGTATTCTAATGGTTGTTCCTGCTCCCTTACTGAAATTCTTTATTGTTTTATAGTAATTTACTAGTTGATTTCTTTGAGTTTTTAATTAGTCCTATCAAATGCAAATAGAGATTCTTTTTTTACTTCTTCCTTTCCAGTCCATATGTCATCTAAAATTTCTCTCTTGCCTAATATATTTTAATGTAAAGTTAACTATAAATGATGACCTTGGAAAGTCTATGTTATTTCTTAGTTTAGTGGGGCTGCTGCTAATGCTTTCCCATAGATGTTGTGATTATAACAAAATATAATATAAAAATCACATTAAAGAAGTAATTATTAACTCCTGAGGGGCTTTTTTTTTTTTTAATCTAAGGGTTGTTATTGAATTTGGTCAAATGTCTTTCAGCATCTGTGGTAGTGATTACACACGCCAGGCCTTCTTTAAACTAATCAGTGGCTCAAGGTTCCCAGACCAATCAAATAAGGTGACAGATCCATTCAAGGACTGGTTTGTCTCAGGCTCCCTCTATAGCAAAGGTTTTCCATTTGGGGGTCCCAGATTAATGTGGGCAGCTCTTCTCTTAGATCTTAGGCAGGCCTGTGCTTTGATTTTCTTCTCTTTTATTGAGGCCAAACAACCAGCATCCAGTCTTCTTTTATCAGAAGTTGCATCTGATCACTACTCCCTGTTTGAGTTTGATCCCCAATTTCCACCTAGCAATTCTTTGCTAGATGATTTAGGAGGGTTAACAAAACAAAACAAAACAAAAAATCTATCATTTTTCATTTTGGCATTTTTTCACCCTGAATGACCTAGCTGCTATTATTGGAAGTGAGAATCATTCTCCTGATCCATTCTCCACACTGTTCAGACCCCCCTTACTCCTACAGGAAGCTGCTTATGTCATTTATCCTCTTAAAGCAAATCTTTGGTTTCTTACTCTCTTTAGGAAAAAAAAAAAGATCCACATACTTTGTTAACACTATTCAGAATTTACTCCACACCTGCCTCTCTGAATCCATTTTCTTTTATTTCTTTTTTAAGATTTTATTTTATTATTTATTTATTTATTTATTTTTCGGGGCTGCATTTTTTTTTAATTTTTTATAAACATATAATATATTTTTATCCCCAGGGGTACAGGTCTGTGAATTGCCAGGTTTACACACTTCACAGCACTCACCATAGCACATACCCTCCCCAATGTCCATAACCCCACCCCCCCTCTCCCAACCTCCCTCCCCCCATCAACCCTCAGTTTGTTTTGTGAGATTAAGAGTCACTTATGGTTTGTCTCCCTCCCAATCCCATCTTGTTTCATTTACTCTTCTCCAACCCCCTTTTTATTTTTAAGTGATCTGTACACTCAAAGTGGGGCTCGAACTCATGCGAGTTCAAGAGTTACATGCTCTACCAACTGAGCCAGCCAGGCACCCCTGAATCCATTTAAACTTTGTCCCTCTTGTGCTGTGAGCATCAGGCTTTTAAGATGTTGTTCTCAGATCTGTGTCATCTCTGGGCTTCACATATGCCATTTCTGTGTTTGGAACAGAGAAGCTCTGCCCCTCTTGACGTGGCTATGGTACAGCCACTCTTCAAGTGATCTCACCTAGCTCTTACACCACGAAGCTAGCTCCCCCGCTATCCTATTACACTAGACCTCTCCAGCAGAGCATTTATCCTACTTTATTGAAATTACGACTATGTCTTATCCTTGAGTTGAATGTTTCATGAGGATCATTGTTACTGCTCTGTGTCTGGTACACAGTACACATTCAGTAAATATTAGTTAAATTCATGAATGAATGGATGTCCAGGATGCTGTTCTCTAAAGTATTGAATTAATCCAGCCATTTTTCACTTCTCTGCTGTTTTCATCTTAGTCCAAGTCACCATTCTCCCCCTCTCACATTTCTGCTGGAACCTCCCAACTGGTCTTCTTGCTTCTGCTCTTGCTTCTCTGTAGTCTGTTCTCACGTGGCCACCAGAATGAGTCTGTGTAAATGCTCACCACATTATGCTGCTCCACAGCTTTTAAACCTATGGTTGCTTCTCTTTGTACTCAGAATAAAATCTACACTCCTATTATGGCCTCTTAGACCATATGTGATATGCCCATTGCTGTCCCTTTAATATCACCTTGTATCACTTCACCTCACTGTACTTTCCTACCATGACTCCCTTTTTGTTCCTCTAATACACCAGGTAAAATCCTCTTTCAGGGTCTTTGTTCTGGTTTTTCTTCCACCTGGAAGACTTCCCAGTTAGTGAACTGGTTTGCTTCCTCATTTCATTCGGGCTTCTGGTCTTCCCTTTGTCACCTTTCTCCCTGCTTTATTTTTCTTATAACATATATCTCCTGGCTTTATATAATCTTTGTGCATTTATTTTTTTTGTCTCTCATTATAAAGTAATCCCCATGAGGTCAAGGACTTTGCTTTGTTCACTGTTGAGCACTGCCTTGTACCTAGAATGCAACCAGTAAATGTTGGTTGGATGAGGAAGTAGATGCATGCTTTCAACCACCCTGAGTTGGACTCATCACACATCTCATTTTACTCCTGTTCTAAGATGATATGGCTAGTGAATGTTCTTCTCATCTTTTAATATCCAATCCAATAGTCTCTTCACCATGTCCATACCTAATTTCCAAATGACATGTAATCACTGCCTTGCCTGATCCTCCCTATATAACTTAAATTGGATAATTAAATGTATATTGGAATGTGTAGTAGAAATAAAACATGTGTATTAGGAATAAAATTTTAATCCAAATTTTTGATTTTTTAAATTTGTGTTTATAGACTTCGTAAATACAGTGTCAATGCTAGTCAGCTATCTTGCTTTTGGTCAAAAGCCTTTGCAAAACTATAGAACTGTGAATCTTTCAGAAGTGTGCATTATATAGTTTCAGACAGAACAGAATTAAATTTCACTGTGTTCAAATATATATTATATTGGAATTGGTTACCATAAATCACTAACGCATTTCAAAAATTTTAAGTGAAATATTTTGTAAAATGACCTCACTGGTCACCTATGAGAAGATGCACCTTCGACATAAATTCATATTTCAAAGTTATGTGCTTGTTTGTGTGGGTCATGATAAATAATCTCCAAGTCGCTCCATGAAATGAGTTGATGCTTCTCTTTAAAGCATTGAGTTTCCGTTTAATATATTATTGATTTGGTACCATGGTTCATAGACAATTGACTATTAATTGAAGCTCTTTGCTGACTCTGTAGATTTGTTTTTGTTTTTCCTAGTCACATACCTGTGCTGCCTACCTAAGTTTTTAGTGCTCTCACATTGGTTCTCATTCAGTCTTCCAGAGACTCATTACATTAGTGAATTTACTATTAACTCCTTTTTACAGAATAGGAAACAAAAGCTAAGAGGGTGAGGAATTCTTGGAGTTTACATGCTTTGTGAAGGAGGGAGCCTTGATTTTTGGTCTGTATTTTATCCTTCCTCATCAGACAATTTTGTTCTGATTGCTGCTGCAGTGTATGTTTTTAGATTTTATTTTGCTAGTTGTATAAACTAATTTATAATTATACCAATTCTAATTTATATAAACTATGTCTACATTAAAAAGATCTTTTTTAATGCATAATTACTGATTTGATGTTTTAGATCTTAACATTTGCCTGTGATGCCTGCAAAAAAGTCATACTACATGTTCCCTCCCAACTAGATGCTGAGAAATTTGTTGGTAGAGGTAAGAAACTGCTAAAATGTAAAATAAATCTTATTTGGTATGATCTTGTAAAATTAGTGTCATTTTTAAAAGAATAGCTGTATTGGAATTAATAGTTAATAACTAACATATTATCATTTGTAATACATATAATGTCATTCCAATAAAAGGAATATTGTCATTTACTGAAAAACATGATTATATGAAGTAGATAAAAAGGTTTAGTTTGACTAATAAATAATTATTAATATTTCTGCTACATGGGGGTGAAGGTATATGTTATTACATACTTCTATGAAATTGAGAAGTAGTATTAAATCTATTTCTTGAGTTTAAAGGTAATTGTTTTTGGATTTTAATCATAAAACATTTTGGCATTTTACTGATATATATTTCTACAAATTACTTCTTATCAGTTATTACTTTTTTTTTTTGAGAGAGAGATTGAAAGAGGGAGAGAGAGAGCAGAGAAGAGGGGCAGAGGGAGAGCGAGAGAGAGAATCTTAGGCAGGTTCTGTTCAGCATGGAGCCTGACACCAGGCTCAATCCCACAACCCTGAGATCATGACCTGAGCTGAAATCAAAGCACACTAAACCACCTGAGCCACTCAGACACTCCATATCAATTAGTTTTTCTCATATAATTCAAATGTGCAAGGAAAGAGCAGACCAATGAGAACACAGAATATAATGACTCTAACAATAGATGCAAAGGGTTAAGAAATATTTTAATTTAATAACTGCTGATTAATGTTCTACATTCTGTTTAACTTAAGTTTTCTCAGGTGTTGCTCTGTAGGTAATTTCAGTTAATAAAAAATAACTTCTTTTGGTATTGGTTTACCTATTCAAACACTGGAACTCACATGCTTTTATTTTAGGACAAATGTCTCTTTCTTAAAAGCATATAAAGTAGGATTAGAAGTGACGTATGTGTTTATGCACAATTTAATTAACCATGTAGTTTCATATACACTTTCAAAAAATGCGACATTTACAAGTATCAGTGTAATTTTAAGTTTTTGGCTCCCCACCTCAACAAATGCATAGATCGCTATTAGCACTATATATTGTTTCATTTTACTTTACAAATGATTGCTGTGTGTATTTCCTACAGTTAACCTGAAGGAGTGCTTTCAATCTGCAAATCTAATTCATTCAAGTGATCCTGATTTCCAAATTTTAGAAGACGGTTCCATCTATGCAACAAATGCCATTCTTTTGTCATCTGAGGAGAGAAGTTTTACCATATTACTTTACAACACTGAGAACCATGAAGAAAGGAAACTGCATGTTCTTTTACAGCATCAAACAAAGGTACACCAAACTATAAAAATGAAGTATAGTGAATTGTTTTCTGCAGGTGTAACATTACCAGGGAAGATGTGAAATCAGAGAGGATGTAGGATAGTTTAGCTTGATGAAGAATGGAAACCATCGTGCAACCTAACAGTGTCCAAATCGTGGAAAAAGGTCTTACCTCATCGGTTATTCTACGTTGTCATTGATTTTCATATGGGACAGGAACAGAGAACTTGGGAGGCTACAGCATGGGAACTTGAGATTGGACACAAAGAAGCATTTCTTAATCTTTCCTCTAGAATAGAGTTCTGAAACAAATTTTGAAACTCTGTTTCTGGAGGTCTATATGTATCTTATACAGCATAATTTGTAGTCTTAAGAAGAAGATGACTATTTTAGGTTGAGGTTCAGACCTCATGCCTTCTTATGGGACTCTAACACCAAAGATCCAGATGATTTCTATTCAATCATCGGCCATTATTCACTGCAGTAGCTTGAGAATTGTCACCATTTTTCTCTCCTCATTCTGACACAGATCTCTCTGTTGGGCCATGGCTCTTCTTAGCTGCTGGTGAGTGGAAGGTGCATATGCTAGATTTAGATGGTCACTCACTTAATTTCTCTTCCTTGCATCTCTTGCCTCCCATGGTTTTGCATGGCAATATGGCAACAGTAATGTCGGCTTTGTTTTTGTTTTTTAATTTTGCTTCTAGGCTTCCAATTCCATCTCTCTTTCTTCCATGTTCCTACCAAGTTATTTTCTCAAGAGGATTGATGTGATAATAGTTAGGACCGCTATTTCTTTGTTATCTTTTTGCAGTGTTGACATTTAGTTTGGTTTTCCACCATGGTCTTACACATTTCCAGTTAATCCTCATGAGAGATAGGTCAGAATTTCAGTGTTTGTCAATAAAGTAATCATTGACTTTATTATTTTTTTCCTGTGTTCTAAATTGAGGTATTAAAGAAGAGGCATTTTAAAGAAAAAGTTCTAAGACGTGCCAAGAGAAGATGGGCTCCTATTCCTTGTTCAATGCAGGAGAATTCCTTGGGTCCTTTCCCACTTTTTCTTCAACAGGTACAGTTTACTGTCCTTTCACTGTGGACTTTTATGGTTTCCATTTTCATTTTTAAATTTGGACAATGAATATGCAGTTATTTTAAAATCAGTTCTGTCTGAATACATGAGTGAGTATGTGTATTGTATGTTTCAATAAATGGGTATAAATACATATCTTTATGCCAGCATATACTTTTTTGCAGTTTTAGTCATGCAAAATCCATATATGAAATTGTAAAACCCACCTAGCACTCTCAAAAACATGGTTCCTTAATGAATTTTCATATTAGCACGCATGTCACTTGGACATAGCCTAGAAACCCCAAACATCTTCCATAATAGATGAAATTGCCATGAAGGGCAAAAGACACAAACTTCCTTTCTATTGTTTATCCCCAAGTCCACTACTAAAATCATACTGGATCCTTTCTCTCTTTTTAACTTTTAGTAGCAACCTCAGCAAATCTTTCCTTCTTCCACTAGCCATTGCCATGACCATTCAGGACCATTCAGTCCTTGACTTGGGTTTCTTTTCTCTCAGTTCTTGAAATTTGAGAGAGAACTCTTCTTTATATCCCACTGACAAATTTAATACAGCTGAGAGAAGAGCATATTGAAGTTGGGAAAGACATTATTTGAAAATAATTGTGTGTCATCCTGACATACAGTCAAGATATTACTAAAAGGATCAAAACAACTTGGGAAAAAATTTCAAGTACCAGAATATCACACTTGCCAGGATATTATGTTATTCGTATTCTCACTCATTTCCACTCTCCCTTTCAGCTCAGCTTCAGTAATAAAAAAGATGCTGACAAATAACAGAAACTAATTAAAGAAAGCATTTCCCATGGTTTTTGCCCTGTAGACAGTAACTTTAAACCTAGCAACTCAGATGTTATGTATAATAAAAATTTAAGCTTAAAAAAATTGACAAAAGCATAGTTTTTCATGCTCAGAATACTTTCTTTTCTCAGACAGTTAAAGTCTTTAATGTTTGGTCCACATAGGTAACATTTAGCCTTTAAAGTATTTCTCAGTTATTCTGGAAAACTAAGACACTACTACATTGTTTTCCTCATGCCTTGCTCTTGAAATTTCTCTATCATTATCCTTCCTTATTCTATTGCTGTTTTTTTATTCATACATGATAGTAAATTAAAGGGGCAATTGCTTATTACAACAAAATGGCAATGTGATTGCATAAATATATATACATGAAAGTTATACTAAAATAAACATTTGTCTCTTCTGTATATAACATCTACTTTCTAGATTCAATCTGACAGTGCACAAAACTACACTATATTCTATTCCATAAGAGGACCTGGGGTGGACCGAGAACCTATGAATTTGTTTTATGTGGAGAGAGATACTGGAAACCTATATTGTACTCGTCCTGTAGATCGTGAGGAGTATGAATCCTTTGAGGTAAAGTCTGAAGTTTATGTATCGTATTAGTCATTGTTAAGTTTGGCTGTTTCATCTCTCATTCTCAATTCATTTATCTTTTTCTATTCTCTGAGCTTGTTGTCTATGCTCTGGCTACATCTGATAGCACAGACCTGGAGCAAAAAGAGTTTTATAGAATAAAGAACATTAGATTCTTAGATTGGTCTTAGTATGATAGTTTTATTTTTTTTAAAAAGATTTTATTTCTTTATTTATTTTATTTCTTTATTTATTTTATATATTAGCACACCTGAGTGGGGAGAGAGGCAGAGGGGGAGAGAGAAGGAGAGGGAAAAAATCTCAAGCAGACTCTGTGCTGAGCACAGAGCCCCTAGAGGGCTACATCTCAGGACCCTGACTGAGATCATGGCCTGAGCTAAAACCAAGAGTCTGACACTAACTGGTTGAACCACCCAGGTGTCCCTAGGATTGAATATTTAGGTTTGGAATTGCTATAAGAATGCCTTCTAAGTACCTGTGATGTTTTGCTTTCTCTGAGAGCAGTTATGAGAAAAAGTGGAATTGAAATTCACATTATAAAATTAAAAGAAATATATTGCATTCCACGCACAGTTTACATCTGGGCATTTGTTCTATTTCTGGCTTTCCTTTTTTTTCTAAAGTAAAAAATTCTCATGAAGAGAATTATCTAACTTTAACTACCAATATGCATGAAATCCTAATTAGGAGAATATAAGATAATATTCTAGTTAACTGCACCTAGGGAGTTTGGAATCCTAAGAATTCAAAGTTATTGAAGATTCAGAACGTGGTATTTAAAATCCATGCTCTGGAACTTCCAAACAAAACAAAATAGTAGAGAAACGGAAAGATATTCTAGGCTCATGGGTTGGAAGAACAAATAACTGTTAAAATGCCCCTACTATGTGAAACAATCTATAGATTTAATGCAATCCTGATCAAAATACCAGCAGCATTTTTCACAGAACTATAACAAACAATCCAAAATTTGTATAGAACCACCAGAGACCCTAAATAGCCAAAGCAGTCTTGAAAAAGAAAAACAAAATTCCAGACGAAGTTACATTACAAAGCTGTACTAATTAGGGTGCTTGGCTGGCTCATTTGCTGAAAAATGTGACTCTTGATCTCAAGGTTGTGAGTTCAAGCTGATATTGGGTGTAGAGATTACTTAAAAAAAAAATTTTTTTTTCAAAAATAAACAAAGGGCCCCTGGGTGGCTCAGTCAGTTAAGCATCTGCCTTGGACTCAGGTCATGATCTCAAGGGCCTGGGATGAGCCTCACATCTGCATCCAGCTCCCTGCTCAGCAGGGAGTCTGCTTCTCCCTCTGCCCCTCCCCCCCGCTAGGGCTCCCTCTCCCTCTCTCTCAAATAAATAAATAAATAAAATCTTTTTAAAAAAGATAAACAAAGTTGTACTAATCAAAACAGAATGGTACTAGCATAAAAATAGAGACCTATATTAATGGAATAGGATAGAAAACTCAGAAATAAACCCAGAATTATATGGTCAATTAATCTTCACCAAAGGAGAAAAGAATATACATCAGGAAAAAGACAGTCTCTTCACAAATGGTGTTGGAAAAACTGGTCAGCTACATGCAAAAGAATGAGAAGAATGAAACTGGAATACTTTCTTATACCATACACAAAAATAAACTTGAAATGGATTAAGTGTAAGACCTGAAACCATAAAAAGCCTAGAAGAGAGCACAGGTAATGATTTCTCTGGTACCGGCCATAGCAACTTTTTTTCTAAATGTCTCCTGAGGCAAGGGCAATAAAAGCAAAAATAAACTATTGGGACTACATCAAAGTAAATAGCTTCTACACAGTGAAGAAAGCCATAAAATTAAAAGACAACCTACGGAATGGGAGAAGATATTTGCAAATGACTCATCCAATAAAGGGTTAGTATCCGAAATACATAAAGAACTTATAAATCTCAATACCCCAAAACCAAATAATCCACTTAAAAATGGGCAAAAGACATGAACAGATATTTCTCCAAAGAAGACATACAGATGGCCAACAGAAATATGAAAAGATAATGTTGCTCATTATCAGGGAAATGCAAATCAAAACTATGACGAGGTATCACCTTACACCTGTCAGAATGGCTAGAATCAAAATACAAGAAACAACAAATATTGTTGAGGATGTGAAGAAAATGAACCCTCTTGCATTGTTTTTCTATGAAAGATTTTATTTTATATAATTATTTGAGAGAGAGAGAGACAGAACATTGGTGGGGGGAGGGAGAGAGAGAAGTGGATTACCCGCTGAGTGGGGAGCTCGACATGGGCGGGGCTCGATGTTGTATGGAAGCGTTGAATCACTACAGTACACCGGAAACTAATATAACACTATGTTAACAACTGGGATTAAAATAAAAAAACTTAATAAAACAAAACAACCCACAAAATAATCTTCAAGTTTGTTCTGGGAAAATAATAGTAAAAGCTGTTACACTCATACACAACAGGACAACTCTAAAATTATCTATGTTATTATGTTAGATATAGTAGAAAGAAACCAGAATTATCTATGTTATTATATTAGATAAATGTAAAATCCTGTAGTACACCATGAGATTAACCACCTCCTGTGACATTAAGGTTTTGTCCACATCCTCAAACATAACAAATGGTGCAACTCACACTGCAATGCTGAACAGTTTCCAAATTAAAGCCAAAGGAAGTTGGAACCATATTTTAACTTTGCTTTTTTTCTTATTTGACTCTTCACAGCTAATTGCCTTTGCCACAACTCCAGATGGATATACTCCAGAGCTTCCCCTGCCCTTGGTAATCAGAATTGAGGATGAAAATGATAACTATCCAATTTTTACAGAAACAACTTACGTTTTTACAGTTTCTGAAAATTGCAGAGTTGGTGCGTACCTACCTTAACAATGTATGGCAGCTTAATGTTTTAATTCATAAATTGAATTTCACTGTGGCCATTGGGAGGCAGCATATTCTGCCGACAAGAATAAGGGACTTGCCACTCAGGGTTGCTGTGGGTGGAATTTTGCTCTGCCTTTCACTAGCTGTGAGCTGTAACCCTGGGCAAGTTTCCTAGTCTTGACAAACCTTAGTTTCCTTATCTGTAAAATGGGTTTTTGATATGTGAGATTGCTGTGAAGATTAAATGATGCATCACACACTTGGAAAGCCAAGCCTAGTGCCTGAAAACTAGAGAAATTACTCAGTTACTTCCTATGTGAAATAAAATAAATAATTTTACGAGAACACACTCTAAAAAGAAAAAGGTTTTGAGCAGTTGAAGTCTTAGTCTTAAAGAGATGTACTGATATTCCATACTGATTAAATGATTGACAGTACTCTGAGCATTATCATAAAGGTCATTGAGAGTAACACAAAGGTTTTCTTAATCTTATGTCAATGGACCCCATCAGCTGGAAATCAGAATGCAGTTTTTGAGTCTTCCAGAAAGATCTAACTAAAGCAAGAGTTTTGGACACATTTTTGACAATTTGATCAATTTAAGGGCAGACTTACAAATAGAAAAAGGTTAAAAAATAGTTAGAATTCTTTAGTCTAGAAATACAAAGGCAATGGATGGATGTTATCAACATTTATCAAATTGTACAGTAAATGCAGTAAATACAGATTTGGTCAACAAATTCCCAAAGGTTAGAATGCTGGGATATTTTTTAAAATGATACTGCATATAGAAGTCTGCAAATGTATAAAAACCATTATTCTGCCATATAATTAAATGGTCCAAAAGCTTTTTGAGGTAGATGGAAAGGAATGAAATAAAGGGGATGTTGATAATGTAAAAGTTTTGGAAATTAAAGAGGATTTCTCAATATGTAGGTTCTACTGTGGGACAGGTATGTGCGACGGACAAAGATGAACCTGACACGATGCACACGCGTCTCAAGTACTCCATCATCGAGCAGTTGCCAGCATACCCCACGCTCTTTTCCATGCATCCAACTACAGGCGTGATCACCACGTCCTCATCTCAGCTAGACAGAGAGGTAACCTAAATATCAACAGACAAAGCCTGATTATCACATCGCCATTGAATCGTACCTGTATATATGTTGTATAGCACCATGTGTTTGTGAAAAGCATATTGTGAATCTCATTTTATTTTATTTTTATTATTTTTTAAATATTTTATTTATTTATTTGTCACAGAGAGGTATCACAAGTAGACGGAGAGAGAGGGGGAAGCAGGCTCCCTGCTAAGCAGAGAGTCGGATGCAAGGCTCAATCCCAGGATCCTAGGATCATGACCTGAGCCGAAGGCAGAGGCTTAACCCACTGAGCCACCCAGGCGCCCCATGAATCTCATTTTAGAAAAGTTATTAAGTATGCTGATGGAGGTCATTAACCTTGCAGTGTGCTAATTTTGAACCACTAATTTGTTCTCCCTTGAAGGTACATTTTACAAAGTCAAGTTTCCTAATATTAACATTTTTACAGAATAAAAACAGGAAGTGTCAAATATGAAAAGTGGAACTTTTCCTCAAATTTTCTGGTCTCAGGACCTTTTACACTCTTAAGTATTATTGAAGATTCCACAGATCTTTTGTTTATATGGGTTATATTTATTGATATTTATTTCATTAGTATTTAAAGCTGACAAAAGTTTAAAATATTTATTTATTCACTCATTTAAAAATCATAAATTTATTACATTTATCATAAATAACATTTTTATAAAAAACAATTACATTTTCTAAAACAGTAAATAATTTACTGAGAATGACATTATAATGCATTTTTCCAAGCCTCTTTAATACCTGACTTAATATAAGACTGGTGGATTCTCATATCTCCTTCTGCATTCAGTTTGTTATAATATGTAGTTTTAGCTAAAGTATATAAAGAAAATCCAACATGATAGAAAGTTAGAAAAGAGAGGAATATTTTAATAGTGATTTTAGATCATTGTGGGTACTCTTTTAATACTACACCAAAACTTGACAAGTTTTGTTTCATAAATGTGTTTTTTGCAGTGTGCACTCTAAAGCCTTATAAAGGAGCTTTCATACTTTGTTATATTAAAATCCATTGGTCTGTCTTGTACTCTGGACAATTTATCCATGTATAATTTCTTAACATCCTGCGTTGACCAATTGGAAAAGGGTTTTTCACTGAATTATGTAGATCTTCCATAGATTGACACATTTTATTAAGCAATATAGGAAAAATGTCACCTTCTCACCTCCATTGATATCACAGTGGTTGATAAAAGTTTTCCGGAAGTCTCATTTTTTTGAAACTCTAATATTTGACAACAAGTAGTTGTTTTCCTTGAGTGACAGATTCACTTTATTAAGATATAATGTCTTCCAAATACACTAGTCTGAATAATGATAGATGTCTTTCATGTAAAAATGGTATTTTGTGCAATTAAACCCCCCAAAACAAAGCTAGTTCAGTTCATAAATAATCACACAAGTACTTCCCTTGAGAAGGACATCATATTATGTGATGTAGCAGGACTGCTTTATGCATACCTCCCATCTTCACTAGACTGTGGGTTGAAATTTAATAAAATTTAGTAAAATTAATCATTTTTACTGCATCTACAAGGACATTTCTTTTTTTTTTTTTTAAAGATATTATTTATTTGAGAGAGAGAGAGAGAGCATGAGAGGGAGAGGTCAGAGGGAGAAGCAGACTCCCCGCCGAGCAGGGAGTCCGATGTGGGACTTGATTCTGGGACTCCAGGATCATGATCTGAGCCAAAGGCAGTTGCTTAACCAACTGAGCACCCAGGAGCCCCTACACGGACATTTCTAAGTGAAGTTTTATTTTATTTTATTAAAATTGTATTTTATTTATGAATTCATTTGTTTTTACTGTATTTGCCAGTGAGGAATACAGTATCATTTGCAGAATAAATGAATGAATAAATTGCTGTTATAGCTCCAGAAATTACACAGATTCTTCAGGGAATTAGTGTGCTCAGGAGAAGCAGGTTATAGACCAAATCCTCTTATTAAGTCTTAAGTAGCTCCTTCTAATAAGTCAGTTGAGAACATTGGACTAATGAAGGAGTCTTGGAGTGTTTTTACCCAAGAATGCTGTGCAGATGCTTACTGATGCCAAGATTCCAGCTTTCCTCTGTTCCTTTCAACCCCTTAAGCTCTTTAAACATCACAATTTTTCTTACCTCTGAAGATATCACAAGTTAATATTTAGGTCCCAAACTTCATTTCTTTCTTGTTTTATCAGCCAGTTGATTATTTTGAATAAATCTTAAGTCACTGCCAGCAAAACATGTATTTTCTCCTTGAAAGTACACTAGTATGAGTTTTTAAATAGGGCCAGTATTTTTTAACTCTGCATATGTGATTGATTATGAGAGAAGAGTACATCAGGAAAATCGTGTGTAAAAAACAAAGAGATAGAGAAATTTTAGTTTTACTTTTAGTAAGACATAATAGACAAGAAAGCTTAAGAAGTGACAGAATTAAGAGAAGGGTAAACATTCTTGGTAGAAGGGTAGGATGGTTTTTTACATATTATTTTGTCTTATGAAAAGAGGTGAGTTATATAGGAAAGGTATTAGTATCAATTTTATAGAATAGAAAACCTAGCTAAAAAGACGTTTCCAACTGCCAGAGAGATTACATTTGTCATTTTCAGAGCTAGGAAAATAACCCAAGGCTCCTAAAATTTGTCCAGAATGCATTATTATTAGAATTGCTTTTAATCCTTTCATGCCCCAATACTTATGATACATGAAATCATTATGAGGAGAAACACATTTTTTAAAAAACTGGCATTGAGCCTTCTACCATCCCCGATGAATGTAAAGCCCTAAGAACCAGATTACATTTTCCATAGAGGAAAAAAATATATAGTTCCAGATCTTCTTATAAATGTAAATATTTAAAATTTGCCTTTTTAATGGAAGGCTATTTTACTTTATTATTCAAGACTGGTTTAAGAGTCACTGCTGTATATTTTTCAACTTAAGAATGTACTTTGGATAGGAGATAAAGATTTTGATTAACCGCTTGGCAATTTAAAATGTGCTATGGCTACATCTTCCCTTTCTGGTGAGTAAACAAACTAAAACCAATTTTTCTATATTCTATATAGAGTAGCACTTTAAATTTGAGAAACTACTCTATTTTCATAAATTAATAGAAAATTACTGGTGTGAGGAAATTATTCTTTGGCCAGTTCATGAAAACTATGAAATTTAATAACGTATTTCTTAAAGTTTTAATGCAAGAAAAATTCCAGAGTGTAAAGTAAGATTTCATTTACAATGTTGCTTTCTCTCAGTGCTTAATTTCTTTCTTTTCAGCTAATTGATAAATACCAGTTGAAAATAAAAGTACAAGACATGGATGGTCAATATTTCGGTTTGCAGACAACTTCAACTTGCATCATAAATATTGGAGATGCAAATGACAACTTGCCAACTTTTACCCGTACTTCTGTAAGTATGTGATAGTAGTAAAAGAAAAATGTACGACCCAGTGTTAATTGCTAAACATGCTTAACTCCATCCATGCCTGCTCCATGATTTCAAATGCAGTATCCCCACTCCCATGACAGTAATTTGGACTTAGGGCTTAAAATCATGTATACGTAGTCCTTGGAAATTAGAACTGAGTTTATTTCCCACAGTGCTCTATTTGTGACAGTTACTAATTAACGCTTTTTTGTTGTTTTTATTATTTTAGTATGTGACGTCAGTGGAAGAAAATACAGTTGATGTGGAAATCTTACGCGTTACTGTGGAGGATAAGGACTTAATGAATACTGCTAATTGGAGAGCGAATTATACCATTTTAAAGGGCAATGAAAATGGGAATTTTAAAATAGTAACAGACCCCAAAACCAATGAAGGAGTTCTGTGTGTGGTTAAGGTAAGAATAAATTAGTAAATTAGTTATTTGCAGCTTATAATGTCATAGATTAGCATACTAGAGCTTAATGAAAAGAGAATTCTGGTAATTATAGGGGTAAAATCGATACATAGGCAAATATGAATGCCGTGTTCTCCGTATCTATAATGAGATGAGTATATTCAAATTGGAGCACCTTTTATAAAGTCCTGGTATTTAAAATACTATTATGTGTGTGCGTGTGTGTAATAGTATTTACTTTGTAACCAACACCTCTTAACAATTAAAAACCTGGCACAGCTTTGATGTCTATGGGACAGTGCCAAACTTTCCTAGCCCATTCTTTCTGTAGCTGATTCAGGGAGCCTCCACTTACTGAATTTCCCAAATGGTGAGTTATTCCTGGTGAAACTGATAGGGACAGCATTTGTAGATCTGTTCATTTATATCTAGCATACATTACAACCTTAGTTTCCTTCTTGGTTGAGAATGGGAATCCTCAAGCATTCGGAGATGCAAATACTTTTGAAACATCCTTCTAATACTATTCTTCAACATCCCAGAAGACCTCCCTGCTAATTCAGGAGCCAGTTAGCCCATAAAGCCACCTGCTTTGGACATAGTCATAGTCTTATTTCTGCTGCATCATTAACTAGAAAATGATTCTATCTTGGGTCCATGCACTTTCTCTTTTGTACATATTCACAAAAAGCGTGACTCAAAAATGACAAATCCTTTTTCTTACATGATGAAAATTAACCGCAGTTTGTGGGTTAATTTCTCTGTTTTAAAACAGCAAAAAAAGTCTTTTGGATCATATCTCTTTCCTCATCCAACCCCTGCCCTGATCCTTAGTATTCTAAGAAGCAATTTTATCTCAGTGAAGTCCAAGACCTGACAAAATCTTTGTCTTGGAGGAAATGACTTTACCTATTCTCATTATAGCTACATATCAGGCAAGGAAAAATAAAAACCTTCCATTAAATTTGGTACTACCAGTTCTTTAAAAAGTAACTGTGATGGAAGAGCTAAAAAAAGGAAAGTGTAGTGTCCATGAGCTTTCTATTTTCTTCTCTGACCTCTCTGAAAAACTTTTTATAAATTTGACCCACATTTTCTACCCCAAACAAGGTACAAATAATTTTCTTCATCTAAAGAATAAGGTAAACTGTCCCAAAATGAATGAAGTCGTAAATAACCATTGGTTAGGGTATGGAGTTCCTCAAGTAATCTCTGAAGTGTTAACATTGAAACACTTTAATTAAATGCTTCTTCTTCTTCTTCTTCTTCTTCTTTTTTTTTTTTTTTTTTAAGATTTTGTCTGTTTGACAGAGAAAAATCACAAGTAGGCAGAGAGAGAGAGGGGGAAGCAAGCTCCCTGCCTAGCAGAGAGCCCGATGCAGGACTCCATCCCAGGACCCTGGGATCATGAACAGAGCCGAACCCACTGAGCCACCCAGGCGCCCCTAATTAAATGCTTCTTGAATTCATTATCAGGACCTCTGATATTACTCACAGTTGAGGAACAGTTTTTGTTTTGTTTTTCGGGTTCCACCCAAATACTGAATCGGTTGGATTCCCCTCCTCCAAACACCACCTGGTTTCTGGGTATATATTTAATATTTTCCTGACTATTCTCAACACTAGTTATGTATGCCAGTTAGCATGGCCAAATATTACCAGGAAGTCTTGATCTGATTTTCAGCACACTTGTGTTTTGCAGCCACTGAATTATGAAGAAAGACAACAGGTGAATCTACAGATTGGGGTAGTTAATGAAGCTCCGTATTCTAAAGAGGCTAGTTCACGATCAGTCATGAGCACCGCGACAGTTACTGTTAATGTAAAAAATCAGGACGAGGGCCCTGAGTGTAGCCCTTTGGTGCAAACCGTTCAAATTAAAGAAAATGTGCCAGTGGGAACAAAGAGCCGTGGATATAAAGCATATGATCCCGAAACAAGAAGTAGCAGTGGCATAAGGTATCCTGTTTTAATTAACTCCAAATTTACCATGTTTTTAAGATTCATAACTTGTTTTGATGCCAGAATTATAATTTTGCCTATGATATGATTTGCTACTTTAATTCATCTTTACTAATAGGTATAAGAAATTAACTGATCCAAAAGAGTGGGTCACAATTAATGAAAACGAAGGATCGATCACAGTTTTCAGAAACCTGGACAGAGAGGCAGAAAGTGTCAGAGGTGGCATATATAATATCACAATTCTTGCATCAGACAAAGGTAAGAACTACTTACCTTTCCCCCTACTTACATTCTCAGTTTTTAAACCAAAACATAGATTTGCAATGAGCTGCATATATACATATATATATATGTATATATCTATATACACGTATATATCTATTTGTGTTATATTAGTTAGCATAAAATACATCACGAGTTTTTGATGCAGTGTTCCAAGATTCACTGTTATGCACCACACGCAGTGCTCCATGCAATCCATGCCCTCCTTAATACCCATCACCAGGCTCAGCCATCCCCCCACCTCCCTCCCCTCTAAAATCTCCAGTTTGTTTCTCAGAGTCCACAGTCTCTCAGTTCATCTCCTCCTCCGATTTCTCCCAAGTCACTTTTCCTTCCCTTCCCCTAATGTCCTCCATGTTATTTCTTTGCTCCACAAGTAAGTGAAACCATATGATAATTGACTTTCTCTGCTTGACTTATTTCACTCAGCATAATCTCCTCCAATCCCATCCATGTTGATGCAAAAGTTGGATATTCATCCTTTCTAGTGGCTGCATAATATTCCATTATATATATATGGACCATATCTTTATCCATTCGTCTGTTGAAGGGCATCTCAGCTCCTTCCACAGTCTGGCTCTTGTGGACATAGCTGCATATATTTCCAAAATGTATTTCTCCCCAGAAGATACAGAGCAGTTGAAAGGTTTGCTGTAATTTATTAACTCATGTTTGCTTTCTAATAACATCCTCAGTTTTATGTAATTGTAAAATAATTTAGTAACAGAAATACTGGAAATGATAATTTTTTTTTTAAAGATTTTATTTATTTATCTGACAGACAGAGATCACAAGTAGGCAGAGAGGCAGGCAGAGAGAGAGGGGGAAGCAGGCTCCCCACCGAGCAGAGAGCCCGATGTGGGGCTCGATCCCGGGACCCTGCGATCATGACCTGAGCCGAAGGCAGAGGCTTAACCCACTGAGCCACCCAGGCGCCCCTGGAAATGATAATTTTTAAAAAGTAAACAATCATTGAAAATTGAGAAAGTTACTCTAGTCAAATTAGCTTCAATTTATCTAGTCATGTCTTTTAAAATATTCACTTTGGAAGAGAATTCATTGCAACAGAGAACATGCTCGTTGCCTGATAGTGCATTCTTAGAAAACTGTTCTGTCTTTTTACAGGAAACTCTCAGTATACTTAGGGATTAAATTCTGACTAAGGACATTATTTAAAAATAATCATAGTCATGATTAATGGTATATTATAAAATTAGAAAGACAAACACTGTGAATCCATAAAACCATATGAAAGATAAAATATTCTGTGAGTCCTACAAAATGGAGAGGAATATGACCACAGTGGTTATGTATGAGATCTATTTAGTGCATGACATACATTTGACTTCAGTGCCTCCATAAACTAAGTATGTTAACTACAGCAAACATATGTTATTACACTATAGCTTACAACATTAGAGTTTAGAAGCAATTTTGGAAGATGTTTTAGGTATTTCGGTTCTATCTAAATGAATGAGAAATGGTTCCTATCCATTGATTGAATCAGTAAGGTTGTAGTTAGTTAAATTGATTAATTAAAGACTGTCCTTCAAGGCCTCAGGTTCCTTTGTCCCTTTGTCAGGACATGCTTTTTGGTCAAAGGCAAGTGAAAAAGAAGAATAACATGAAAATCAAATCTGTTCTGTTTACATTTTTAATAGGGCTTGGCAAATGGTTTGTTGATAGATCAGATAAATTTATTGTCCGGAATTAAGAGATTTGGGATATAATTTTATTCTACATTCTCCTTTGTTGCAGAGGAGATAAAATAATTGAGAGGTCAAATATTTGTATGGCACTTAGATGAGCTAATTATCCTTGTGGAATAAAATAAATGCATCATGGGGCCCCTTCCCATTCATTTCTGTTGAAGAGGGTAGGGACTGAATGTTACCATTTATTTTATGAACTCAGATCATACAAAGGGGTTTTTTGTTTGTTTGCTTGTTTGCTTGTTTGCTTTTTCTGTTTTTATCTTTTTCTAAAATCTGTGCTGACTAATTTCCTTTGGACCCTACCACCTGCTTCCTGATGAAAGATGGTGTCTCGTGAGCACAGACGTTAGGTCCATTCTCACTTCCCATCCTCCTGCTTCTCTGTGGCACTTGCTTCCTCTTTCTGAAACCCTCTTGCAAGGCATCTGTGTATAAGTTTTTTCACACTTTTCTCTCTGGTCCATATGCTTTCTGGTACCACCTTCTGCTCTCCCGAACACAGCTATTTCTTCAACTTTGGATTCAATTTCTCTCTTCTTCTCAGTGTCTTCTCAGATTAAACTCTCTTGGTAGTGTCACTCAGGTGTGTCCTCTATATAGCTCAGTTTTAGATTTTTTTAAAAAAAGACGTTATTTATTTATTAGAGAGATGGAGAAAGAGCACTAGTAGGCAGAGGGAGAGGAAGAAGCAGGCTCTCCGCCCAGCAGGGAGCCCGATGCGGGGCTCGATCCCAGGACCCTGGGATAATGACCTGAGCTGACGGCAGTGGCTTAACCCACTGAGCCACCTTGGTGCCCCTTAGGTTTTTATCTTTGTTGGATTATTCCAGCTTTGGGGAGGAGTGTGTTTTCAAAATTTTTGAAATATTGAACAGGAGGGTGCCATGCACAAAACTCATGAAACCAAGGGTAGTTCACTTTCCATGACTTCATATTTGGAATTAGTACTTACTCATATAGAACTGTGTTAATATTAGAAGGCGAGCATTGCATGCCTACATTCCAATGAATTAGAGCGTTATTTATTTAATCAACATGAAAAACAGAGCTGTGAAACACTGTGAATTAGATGTCTAAGATCTTCGGTTTAAATATTGTACACTGATATGAATCACAATGCCTCAAAAAATGGAGTGTACTGTACAACTGTAAATGTTTAATGGAAGTGAGGTTCAGACATTTAGCACAGTAGTGGAGGAGCAGACGTTGTAGAGGTCAATTTTTAAAGACAATGCAGTCAACCAGGCTCAGTCAGGAAGCCATGTGCTTTCAACTCTGTGTGCGGATCCAATGTCAAGAAATGTTCAAGACATTCCACAGTCCCAGTTTTCAGAGAGAGCTAGAACACAGCACACAGAGAGAGAACAGAGATGTTGAGAGGTGAAACGTATGTTGCCCTCTGAAACGTATGACAGGTAGATAAAATACAGATTTCCCTGCTTCCTTTGTCTCCCTTTCCCTTCTCTTTTTTTAAGTTGTCCAAAGTGAGAGATTGTTGCATTGTTTTCTGTATCTCATTCCTTCTCTCCTGGTTCCCTTTTCTTCTTGCTGGTGCACATTCTTTACTAGTTCTTCCAAAGTTGTTGTCTAGGGGACAAACCCTACCCATTTTATTCTGAAAAATATTTCAATGTCATTCTCCTGCTTGATTTGATCATTTGACTTGATGTAAGGTTTTGAGGTAGGTCCTTCTTTCCCTCAGCACTGTGAGGGGTCATACTCCATTATCTTCTGGCATCTCATGTTGCTGAGGCAAATTTATCTGCTGTCAATCTCATTATTGTCCATTTGTAGGTAATATGTCTAGGCAACTTTTTTGGCTCCCTGGGTTGCATTTTATAGTTTTAATACAGTGTTTATGGTGTGAGCTTATTTTTATTTATGTAGCACTGCCATCAGAATATATTTTTTAAAAAATCCTTACTTCTCTTTAATTCTGGGATATTTTCAGCAATTACCTCTTTCAATAGTGCTTCCCTGCCATTCTATTTATTCTCTTCTTCTAGAATCACTATTAAAGGAATGTTGTTTTAGTTCTACTGGAATTTAGGCTATAATTTCATTGCTCTTGAAACAGTTACCCCCCTTTTTTTTAAATGTCTTTGAAGATACTAAATATACATGTTTCAAAGATGTCTTGCATAGAGTGAATTAATCTTCAGTTGGGTGGTTTTTTTGGTTTTCCTTTTAGCATTGCTCTTGCGCATTCTGGAATTTCAATTTGCAAGCTTGTATTACATGGGAGGTGTCCAGTTTGATTTCTCCTTTTGGTTTCTTCCTCTCCACTTTACCCCATAGCAGTCTTGTAGTAGCTGCCACTTTGTCCTTTTCTTTTCTTTTTTTTAAGATTTTATTTATTTATTTGACAGACAGAGATCACAAGTAGGCAGAGAGGCAGGTGGGGTGGCGGGGGGAGAAGCAGGCTCCCTGCTGAGCAGAGAGCCCAATGCGGGGCTCGATCCCAGGATCCTGAGATCATGACCTGAGCTGAAGGCAGAGGCTTTAACCCACTGAGCCACCCAGGTGCCCCTGTCCTTTTCTGGGGCCCGCATTTCAGAACCAGGTCTCCTTGTCCTTAATGACACTGCCCGTATCACAGGGCCTGTCGCCTTGGACCAGGCGCCTATGACCCCAGGGCTGCGCCTGGTCTTCCAGCTTTTCCAGGTTGGCAGCTTTACATAAGACACAGCCCCAGACAGCAGGTGGCATAGTTTGGTTTATCCTCTTGTCCATCGCTGATGTCCCAAGGCCTCCTGATTAAGCAGAAAGAAGTGATCTAGAGGCAGATGTCCTGATTTGTGTTCAGCTTCAGACTAAATAACTGTGTTACTGATTTGGGGCCTGGACCCACATCTCCTTCATCTTTGAATCCCCTAGATTTTCCAGTATGGTGCCCTGTACAAAGTAGTTATTCAGTAAATTTTTATTAGACATAGAGACCGATGTTTTCCTTAGGCTACAGCCATGGGGATTAGTTTGGTTTACAAGTGATTTTCTACTTCTGGAGTCTTTTTACCCTTCAAACGTTTCTAGGTACTGTTTTGTTCTCATCTTCTAAATGCATATCTTCTCCCTTTTGGTTCCCCTGCTCCAAAACGTTATGCACTTTCTATATGCATATGAAATTCCGGGCTCCTGAGGTTGGCTTTCGGGGATCCTTAGCTCTTCTCTGCGGTGTCAGTTCCAGCCAGTCTGCCTTACCCCCTCATTCTGTCTAGAACATGGTTATACATACTGTGCTTTCCCACCTTCTCAAATATCCCTGTGCTTGTAACTATACCAGAAGCACCCTCGGTCATATTTTCTCTTTAAAAAAAAAATCAGTCAAGGGGCGCCTGGGTGGCTCAGTGGGTCAAAGCCTCTGCCTTCAGCTTAGGTCATGATCCCAGGGTTCTGGGATCAAGCCCCACATCGGGCTCTCTGCTTGGCAGGGAGCCTGCTTCCCCCCTTCTCTCTCTGCCTACCTCTTTGCCTACTTGTGATTTCTGTCAAATAAGTAAATAAAATCTTTAAAAAATAAAAACAAAACTATTTTTTTCGATGTACAAGTTTCCTAGTAAAAACCCAGAACATTAAAAAATTCATATTTTTATATCCAATTTTCTAGATGGGAGAACCTGTACTGGAACACTGGGAATTATACTTGAAGATGTGAACGATAATGGCCCCGTGATACCAAAACAGACAGTAGTAATCTGCAAACCCGTCCTGGCATCTGCGGATATTGTTGCCGTCGATCCTGATGAGTCTGCGAATGGCCCACCCTTTGACTTCCGTTTGGACAGTGATGCTGATTCAAACATAGAAAGAAAGTGGAGATTGAGAAGAATTAACGGTACGTGAATGCCGTTAATACCAGCTTAGTTCTTAGTCTGTACTTCTGACTTTAGCCATGAGAGGATCTATGGTGACAGGAATGACAAAAATGAAGAGGCCCTCTCTCAGCTCTTAACTCCTCAGAGGGTTCCGCATCTCCTAACTGAACTACCCACGGGCCCTGAAGTCTTGGTCGCCCAGCATTTCAGCTTTCACGACTTGAGATCTGCTGTAACCTGAGGGGCTTTTCCTTTGAAGTGTCCTTGAATGTGAATTTCAAACCCATGCTTCCAAGGAATATTCCTCCATTTTCTTTTATGACAAATTAGAACACAAAGCTGTAAGCCAAGGGAAGGGGAACAGGAAGGGAAAAGGAAAACAAGGATGTGTAGAAGCTATGGTGACAAGTTAAGGCCCTGTGTCCCGAATCCTGCTCTGTGAACTGACAGCATTTTCAGTCTTTTTAATAATATTCCTGTGTGTGTGTGTGTGTGTGTGTGTGTGTGTGTGTGTAAGGTTATCAACTGTTCTTTCTCGGGAAGAACTAACCTTACTTTTAGATTTTCTCCATTCTACTGATTTGATGTCATAACATCATTTCCTTTTAGATCGTGTGAAAGGAGGTAGTAATTTTTTTAAAGATGTTTATTTATGTATTTATTTGACAGAGAGACAGCCATTGAGAGAGGGAACACAAGTGGGGGGGGTCGGAGAGGGAGAAGCAGGCCTCCTGCTGAGCAGGGAGCCCGATGCGGGGCTCAATCCCAGGACCCTGGGATCATGACCTGAGCTGAAGGCAGCCACTTAACGGACTGAGCCACCCAGGCACCCCAGTAATTCTGTTTAATATTCCTGCTTTGTACAGTAAACATTGGCAGGCTTATGTCTGTCAAAATTTTGTTGCTTTTAAGTTCTACTCATCTGTGAAATAACCCCAAAGTCTGGGAAACACCAAGTTAGGAACATATTCCAATGAGTCTTTGAAGTCAAATAGACTAGGTTAAATGCTGGCCCCACTGATTATTAGTGATGTAAATATGACGATGCTATTTATTCTCCTTGGGTCTTAATTTACTTATATGTAAAATGGGATTATTTGGGGGGAGTAAACAAGATAATGAAAGCATCAGACCATGGCACGTTATACATTGTAAATTTTGGTTTTGTTAGTCTTCTTATTTTTAACACATAGACTTACCAAGTTAACCATGCTTTCTTCTAAAATGGACTTATCCACTGATTCCTTTACCCAAACACCCAAATTTATATTTAGAGCTTCAAACACCCTCATAATAAATGGGACAGTTAAATGGAGAAGTTTTCTTCTTAAGAATGGGCATGTGGCATCAACATTCAAAATAGTTATATATCTTTGGATCTATACCCAAGACTGAATTGGATATTGACCTGGATATTTTCTACCCTAAAAAAATACATCAGAACTATAAAGTGTACAGTTGGTCCCAGGGTCCTATAGGATTGTGAGACACTACAGCATCAAGACAACTCACACATACCAGTGTGTTCAAGGTCAGCCGTGTTCTAAGCTGTCAGAATCAGTCTCTGACAGTGAGTCACAACTTTATATCTGTTTGGCACAATATATGAGAACAGAATAAAGGGAAACATCCAGAATTTCAGATTATTGCTCTCTGATAAACCATGTATATAAGAAAATTGCACTGAATGGTGATATTAAAAATTTTCGAAGATATGAGTGCTTTAACACCTATTACTTGTGATAAGAAGGGTTTGTTTGTGGACAGAAAAATATATTATTATAAAAGCCAAAGGACGTTTATGTAAGAGGCAGCAGAGAGAAACTTGGATATGCAGTATGTTTACCGTTGCTATAGATGAGAACTCATCAGTCCATTTACATTCTCAGTCCTGTAGCCTTTGTGCCTTCCCATCAGGAAGGCCTATTTGTCGGGAAATATGGCAAATATCCTAACACTAGAAGAAATTAGTGACATTCTCTATCACTTAGTTTTATTTTCTTTCAGATACGGCAGCTCGTCTTTTCTTTCAGGAGGACCTTCCATTTGGAACATATCAAGTACCTGTCAGAGTTACAGATAGACATGGCGTGTCACTCATTACTCCACTAACTGTTAAGTTATGTGACTGTGTTACTGAAAATGACTGCACGCTTCGCACTGATCCAAGGATCGGCCACGGAGAAGTGAGACTTGGAAAGTGGGCCATCCTTGCCATATTGTTGGGCATAGCCTTGCTCTTTTGTAAGTCCCTTCACCAACTTGAATAACAGCCTTTACAATAACTTTAAAGATGCATTCTTAGAATCAGCACTGCTACCTGTAGCTGTTCATTTGTATATAGTTCTAGTTCTACTTAACACAACTTACTGAATTTATTTATTGAAAGCACTGTTCTGGTGTTATTGCAGCACAGACATAAAATTCAGTGCAGAAACATGGCAATTAGCACGTCTTTGTGGCATACTAGCTTAGAGCAGACTTTCTCCACAAGCCACCATATTTATATTTTCTGGAAAGCTGACTTTGTGTGAGTCATCCTAAATTCATAACTCCATATTGTTTTATGATCAACTGAAGTAACTTCTCTCATCCTCCAGGTATCCTGTTTACCTTAGTCTGTGGGGGTACTGGGGCAGCTAAGCAGCCCAAAGTATTTCCTGATGATTTAGCCCAGCAGAACCTCATTGTGTCAAACACGGAAGCTCCAGGAGATGACAAAATAGTAAGTAGTTTGTTCTTTTTAAAATAAGTACAAAGGACAAATTGGCCTAACCAACTATAATTATCTTTTCTGAGAAAAGTTCTTTTGAAATCAGGTAACTGACAATATATAAAATTTCATCCGTCCTATGGACTAGATAAATGATGTTGATTCTCTTGATGATACGTGGCTTTTCAGTGTGGGCGTATAGTGTTACTTAAGAGTTAAAATCCTTTAGCATCTCATTATTATTTCTACTTAAAATGTTTCATGACTTCAACTTTAGGTCCAGTCTTTTTTATATATTGAAACTGCTGTTTGTGTTGTAAAAATATTTGATTTAATTATTCACAGATCATCAGCATAATTATTTTAATTTTTTTTTCTGGCAACAGCAATAAAATGACTACGAGCTTTGATCAGTGTGGGAAGAACTTTAATGGAGTCTTTCTGGTTCTAATATGGGTTAGAAAGAAGCCTGAGGTCAAACATGAAATGACAATGCTAGCAAGCGACTACAGAGCTCCAACTTTGATTTCTAGCCTAGTACATAGATGAGGGACTTGTAAATTTTCTACGGAAAGCATAATGATGATAAGAACAGGAAAGATTTAGAAAACAAAAGTCGTTGACATCTAGGAAGGTATTGGAAAAAAATAAAACTTAAGAGTTTCCCACAAAAACGCAGCATAGAAAGTTAGTGCCCAGAGCTTTGTTGTTCTCATTTTCCCTGCTGATTTATTTTTCTTTATTGAGATCACAGGATTTATTATTGCAACTAAGATTTTTATGGCAACTCCTTTTCCTGTATTTTTGTTTTAGTTGAGGGGAACGACATTAGACACAATAAAAATACTGATCGCCTTTTCTGTTTCTTGTTCTAGTCTAGTTTAGTCCCTCTAGGTGAAGGAGTGAATTTAAACCAAGCAGGGTAAATTCACATGAGATGTTGATGCCAGAATCCTGATTTTGAGCTTTGAGATTTTGGAAGGATTTAAGAAATGAGCTTGTGCAGTATTCTAAGAAGTTTTTAAAGAAGGAATATACATTTAGCTTTCTGGATTTGTCTCAAGGTGTAGACCAGTTGACATCTGCAATTTGTAGATGCATTGGGTGCTGTACTCAGGATTGCCAAGACAGATTTAGTTCTTGCCCTCAGGGAGCTTACCTTCTAACACAAAAATGTAGGGCATTATCTGCTTGTTGTTGTTGCTGTTCGTTTCTGTATGCAAATTGTTTGCCTTTCAGTGTTCCACCAATGGTTTCACAACGCATACTGTGGGCAGTTCTGCTCAGGGAATTTGTGGTACCATGGGATCAGGAGTGAAAAATGGAGGGCAGGAGACCACTGAAATGGTGAAATGTGGACACCAGACCCTGGATTCGTGCCGGGGAACTGGGCACCATCACACCCTGGATTCCTGCCGGGGAGGACCTGTGGAGGTGGACAACTGCCAATATACCTACTCCGAGTGGCATAATTACACTCAGCCTCGTCTTGGTGAAGTGAGTTTCCCTGAGTGTCCTACAGATTTATTTTAATTTCCTTTCAGCTTTCTAAATTATTTCAATTTAGTGGCCTGACCCTTGTTTTCAGTTAATTATTAATCTATTAATTGTAAAGTTGTTTTTCCTAATTTTGATTTAGTAATGCTCAGTATTAAGTGGAAATTTACTTTTCCTCTCAGTTTGTTTCGTTTTTCAATTCTTTAGAAATAATGTTAGATGATACTTAGTTATTAGATATGAAATATCCTATTTATTTGGTATAAGAACAACAGAAAAGAATTGTTATCCCAGTTTATGTGTTTTTTTTAAATATACAACTTATCTGTACGGTATTTAAATTATTTTTTTCCATGATTTTGTGTTAATATTTCCCATGTGACAAATCTTTATCTTAGAAAACAGAAGTGTGGTACAAGGCAATTATAGCCTTATGGTCACTAAGCCTATCTGGAAAGATCTGAGCCCACCTAAATTTGGGTTCAGTTTAATGGGTGCATCTCACTTTTGACATGATTTTGAAAGGGAAACTAATGATCACCTAACCTGAACCTTCGTATACTTGCTGCCACATATGTGAGTTTTTAGAGACATGCTGTAGAGTGAATTTATAGATGATTTATGATATAGACCAATCATGTGCATTTTTTATATGTAGGAATCCATTAGAGGACACACTCTGATTAAAAATTAAACAATGAAAGGTAAATCAAAGCCATTATTTTTATGTTAGTAAGTTTTGGTGTTTAAAATAATAATAATAAAATATATTGTGTTTCTCCTCTGGCAGAAGGTGCAACTGTGTAATCAGGATGACAAGCATAGACATGCTCAAGACTATGTCCTGACGTATAACTACGAAGGCAAAGGATCGGTGGCTGGTTCTATAGGTTGTTGCAGTGAACGACAAGAAGAAGATGGGCTTGAATTTTTGGATCATTTGGAACCCAAGTTTAGGACACTAGCAGAAGCATGCATAAAGAGATGAGTGTGTTCTGATAAGTCTACAAAAGCCAGTGGCTTTATCTCCTTCCCACCCACGCTATTTTCATTACAGCCCATGTTTTTTAAAAAATTGGATATGCTGTTTCAGGTTTTCCCCTCTTTATTTCAATGGTATCTCTTTAAACATATGCATGTTTACAGAAAAAAGCTGTAAATACGTATACAAATCTCCCAAGTTTTGCATAGTTATTAATTAGTTGTCTTCTACCCAAGGAGACCTACAGATAGAAAAATTAAAGAAGTCTGTGTTACTGTTTACATTTGGGTGTAATGACAATAGCCAATTTATTGTGCAATCGAATGTAATGAGTTCAAATGTGTGTCATACACTACTTAAAGGATAACCTAATAGAAAATTGTAGAGAACTCGCTTTAACATTAATTAGTTGTTTGTACGGTGCTTGAAAACTGCTATTCTCCTAAACATTGTAATGTGTGTATATTGCATCCTTGATAATGTTTTATTCTTAGAACATTACCTTTCTTTCTAATGCAAAGGGAGCGTCCCAACCAGGCATTGACTGGTGGTAATACAACTCCATTTTGGTAGAGTTTAGTTTCTGTTTTACTCTATATAAAATCCTGTGCTGAATCTACGTTTCTCTGTTAATCTACCTTGACAGCAAAGTTTAAGTTTAAAAACTGCTATAAGGATGTGTTTTTACTTCTGCAGGGTTTTGGTCCTTGGTCTCTCTCTGTTTCTTTCTCTCTCTCCCTCTCACTCTCTCTCTTTTTTTTTTTTCTCTTTATTTTAAAAATTTCTACTTGGGTTGGAGAATCTAAATATTTTAAAAAGCCACTTTTCTTCTAAAGTGAGTGATTCTGTTTGTGTTTTATGTAAGTGTACTAGTCTCTGTTTTTCTTGAAATCAGTGTGATGCTGACGTTACTGTTTCAAGTATCTTGGTCGTTGCTTCGTTATTTCCTCAACAAAGGAACTTTAACTTTGTTATTGAAACTACAAGTAAGTAATGCTTTGCATGTTAAAATTAGAATGTGGATAATTAGTATATAATAGTTTGTTTACAGTTCCTATCTTCAATGCAAGGATATAGTTTTTAAATGCGAAATAATGACGGTTTTTGAAATAAGCTTTGAGGTACAGGGATCGTGAAAGCTCTCCAGGAGTAAGTATTTTATAACTTTTTAGATGAAATGGCTAGTCATATCTATGTGTTTAAGACGTTGTTGTTGTTGTTGTTGTTGTTTTCATATTTTAAAATTAGAGTTTTTAACAAATGTAGAGTGGGCCAAACTATGTATATTTTGAAACAATAAGACAAAATTAAACTGAACAGCCAACCAAATTCCAGGCCAGTTTTCACAGCTGATTTCAATGAATTTTCTATGTGTACTAACTACATGAACATTTTAAATGTATTTTTGATGGTAACAATTGTTAATAATGTGCCTATCTTAAATTCACAAGTCTGCCTTATAACACTTTTAAAGATTAACACTGGGTAATTATTCCATAGTCAATTTTATCATTTGAATAGTTTTGTTATTGTTCAGTCAAAAATACTGTTTCTCAAAGTTATTTTAAATAAATCCTGTCTACAATGTTGTGTTTTGCTAGTTATGAGAAAGTAAATCGAGTAGTTTCAAAATATTAGTTTAAGTTTGTTAATCATGTGCCCGATATGACCTTATAAGATTTTATTTGTCTTACTTTGAGCAGTGAGTCTATTCTTTAGAATTGTGTTCTATATTTTTCAGAATTTTAGTTTGATGTGGAGAGATCATTGGTCCATTGTCATCACCACATGTACATAATTTTGCTATTCTAAAGGTTGTCATGCGATGGGATATTGTTTAAGTTACATGGTTTCTCTGTGTCCGGGTTTTGTTTTGTTTTTTTAAATTTCATCATAAAATGGGGGATAATAGTATAACTCCTTTCCTAGGGTGGCTATAAGACATTTGAATAAAAAATGGTTTTTAAGCATGAAATTCATATAGAGTTGTCCACCTAAAAGGCACTCCTATAATACTAAATGATTTAATTTTTTATTTTATTTTTTAAAAAAGATTTTATTTATTTATTTGAAAGAGAGAGACCCAGGGGGAGAGGGAACACAAGCAGGGGGAGTGAAAGAGGGAGAAGCAGGCCCCTGCCGAGCAGGGAGCCCGATGCTGGGCTCCATCCCAGGACGCTAAGATCATGACCTGAGCTGAAGGCAAATGCTTAACCGACTGAGCCACCCAGGTGCCCCACTAAATGATTTAAAATACGTCACATGTACAACCCAATTCATACTAACAAAGATCAATTAAGAAAATAGAATAATTGAAAGCTGTTTTTTTTTTTTTTTGCTTTACTTTAGAATGTCTGTCAGTTGAGAATACGTCTCTTCATAATGATTACCTGATGACTGAGTCTTATCTATCCAATGGTTCAGAACAAATATTGCAAAGATTTCTGAAGTATCTACAAAGGATTGCCTAATCTGAAATACTGTGAAACTATTTAGTTCCAGTTGGGTGGAAAGCAGAACATCTACGAAAAATGGGCACTAATTCTAAAACACTATGAAAGTTATATATGCTTAAGATTCTCCCTGCCATGCCCTTCCTAGGCTTCTCTCCTAGCTGGAAAGGTTGCTTTTCTCAGAGACAAGCAATTGCTTGCCTGGGGAATTTAAGACAGTTGGCCTTCTTCAGGGTAACCCTGAAAGTACAGAGACTCCAGAGAGTGCCTTGATGCAAATCCCAACACCACCCTTACTAGCTGTGGGATTTGAGAAGTCAGTTAAACTTTGAGTTTAGTTTCCTCCACCATATGACCTTTATTTGTGGGGATTTTAAGAGTCCATTTCATAGTTTTGTTGTCAGAGTTAAAAGAGTTAATTCGTTAAAAGAATTGGCACAGAAGGATCACTCAATATACATTAGCTGCTGTTATTATCATAAGAGAAGGGAATGCCTTAGTTGGGATAATCATAGCTTTGGTCTCAAGTCTCATTGTACCTTACAGCTGACATCTTGCCATGATGTTCCCATTCATCTTTCCCAAAATCCTAACTGCCTTTTACCTGTGATGGCCTTTTGGGAACTAGATGGCTCATAATTGTTTCCAGGTCTCTCCTTCTTGGTATTCAGGAAGCTACATCTTATCCATAAACCACAAATCAGCGTGATAAATCTTGAGACTTAAATGAAAAACAGATACAATTTCTAGTCACCAGATTTTGCCTCCTTGAGAGATTTCCTAAGAAATGGATGGGGCTACTTCAATGAGGGAAGTACTGTTAGTTCATTGCATACAGTCATCTAATGCCTTCCCCATATAGCCATGTAAGGCCTTCCTAATAAAGACTGTGCTGGTATGAGAAGGTACACGATGAATTAGCTATTCTCCCCACCCACACACTATACTGTAAGACAAAATATGATATAGTTTTGAGCCGACGTTGGAATGGTCCAATGCCTGGAATGGTCCCATGCCTGGAAAATGCATCATATGATACCTGGCATGTGGTAAATACTCAATACAGTTAAAAAAAAAAATTCCAGATGATGCAAAAGAACTGTATTATTCTAGTGAGTGAAGTTGTGTTTCCACTACTCCCAAGCCAAGTGTCCGTGAGCATGAGGACCCTACCTGTTGTCCTCCATTCCTCTTCATATGTTCCTCCCACCAGTATCCCAGCTCAACTCCTTGGCATCACTCAGCTCCAACAGTGGTGGTGCCTCCAATCTCTTCCCTCTTCCATCCTTCTCCCTCTGTCAAAGAACAAATAGGATCATGGCATTCTCCTGCCTAAGGGCCTGCGATTTTAGAGGATAAATTTGAAATGCATATCACATTCTAATACCAGTTCTCCTGTAAACCACCCCCTCCCCCAACACACACACATTCTCTTATCTTGTGCCTTGTTCCTAACCAGGCCTTCTTGTGCAGTATCTCTACTCATTATCCATTTCTTTCTTACAAAAATAGAACTTTTTAAAAAGATTTAGTTCAAAAACCATCTCCCTCTAGCCATATGACATTTATGTGTCTAGAGCACATGGCTATAAATTTTCACTTACAGGTTATAGGTATGTGTGTATGCATTCGTACATGCATGGGTGTGTGTGTGTGTGTGTGTGTGTGTGTGTGCATGGATGCATGTGTGTGTGTGTGTGTATGTGTGTGTTATTATATGGAAAAGTTACTGAAGATAAAGGTGTTCCCATTTGTATGCACATTGAATTCTGGCCGTCAATGCATTCTGATGAGCCAAATTATATTGCCCAGGTCACAAAGGGAAAACAAAAGGAAGATTACAAATTAAGTTATTTGATTCCTAGCAAGCTACCTAACTTTCCCTTGACATAAATTTTCTATTAGAGATGTGATGTATTTTAGATTCTGCATTGAATTCTTTTTTCAGTGCTGGGGCATTGAATACCTAGAACAAACATTCGCATTTACTACTTAGAAAGTGAGGTGATGAGGTTTTGGAATCCCTGTGGTGGTGAGAGTGGCAGATCCCTTGTCTACATTGTGGTTCAGTTTAGCTAATTCCTTCCTACCTCCAACAATTGTCTGACTTTCTCAGAACTAGCTACACCATGCTGAAAGTAGTCCTCAAAGTTTCTTGTCATCGTCACCACTGTGTGCCCAGCATATAGAACAGTAGATTTTCCATATGTTTATTGAAATATTTTTTTGTGACCATCTTCTCATCATCAGCACGTTCTAACACTAGTGAAAATAAATTTTGCTAAAGGGCAAACTACCTTCCCGTCCCTGAGGAAAAGCAACTAAGACACACTTATATCTTAGAAATTCAAGAAATAATTCTTACGGGTTTGCCAAATCCAAGTTAATTATTTATAAATTTGAGAGTCAAGCTTTGACTCAAGAAGTATCTTGAGAAACCAGAAGCAAGAAAAGTGCAGATCTCAGAGCTTCCTCTGACTTAGAGTGGGACATCACTCTGTAACAGGACACCATGGTGCTCAAGAGCATGGCCAGGAGGAAGTTGAGAGTGGAAAGAAAAAGACACTTGTAGCTTTGAGCCTGGGAGACTGTGACTCTACCGCACTGTGAGCTGGTAATGTGGCCTGAAGATAATACAGAAGACAGAGACGCCTGTTCTGCTGT